TCATGATTAGCAAATTGATGTGCACCTTTAGCGAGAAAATCTAAAGACTTGCTAGACTATAAATGGGTAAAATACTTAGAAGATATTAAGTGTTAACAATGCACCAACACTAGAGCCTACTTTGAAAACAATTCCTTCTTTATTCAATAGCTCATATATGGAAGATTTCATATATAATTATGATGGGGATTAAAATCCATTAAAAACATTATACAACCATAATTTGAATAAACCTGGCCTAAGACTTTACCAGCATAACACACTCAGGAACCAACTCTTGAAGCTTCAAGATATTTCTCATTGCTTTCATAGCTTCAGGATGTTCCCGAGCCCCACAGAAGTATACACTGTAACGACTGACATCTCTGCCCCTAAAGACGAGATAGAGCAAAAAGTGCAAAAGAGCCTAAATATGAAAGTGAAAAACAGCATGGTGATATTGGAATAGAGGTCACAAAAATAGAAAAATGTAAGGTAATTTAAATGTATGTTGATAATTATTTATTTGCAAATTTAGAATGAAGCTAGTTATAAAGTAAATAAAGTGTGATGAATAGTGCACGCAAAACAGAATCTACTTGAGATAAACTAGGCTAAAGTGAGACAATACATTGGACCAAAAATAAATTAAAGCGATCGTGCATACGAACCTCCTACATGCCTCTGATTCGAGAAACCAGCTAAGACGCCTGGCTGAGTTGCCCTTTGTTCTTTGGGCTATACATTGAAGCACAGCCTGTAGTACTAGGTACCCATGCTCACTATGACAACCCATTTCCTGAAATAAAGTGAATTTACAATGTATTTACCAAAAAATGAGGTAACATCTGTCTAGCTCTTAGAACATTTGAATCCTTTTCTTCTTGCTCCATGAAAGATTCAGGACCATCTGGTAAATCAGTTGAAATCAAACCAGTGAATTCATATGAAGGCGGTCTATTATTTGCCATTTGTTCACTTGAATCTTTTTCAGCTACTGATGTGGAAGTCAGTCTGCTCGATCTCGGTTGTGAAAATGCAACTGAATGGGTAAATATACCATCGCCAAGTAACTCTCCCGCGCTTAGTAAAGGGTAGAGTACATACGCAACGCACTTCAAGAATATCTCCAACGTATTCCAAGCTAAAGGTACAGATATGAGTTCGCCTATAAGGTTTTCCTTGACAGCTATACAGGGCATTGCGAGCGACAAAAAAGGACAATCCTCGTTCCGTGGATGTTGTGCAAGTTCGTAAATTGTTTGTCGCCATGTGGGTGACTCCACCATTTGACTTAGCCATTCCATAGTATCCTACGTTAAAAAAATTAGGAACTATATAAATACCGATAAGGCGTCATCAGTGAGACATTTAATCGCTTTAGACCGGTCATAATTTTGTAGAAGAGTTTCCATCACAACGGACTCAATTATGTTTCTAGTTGATTGCGCATCCTCATCTAATAAGTCATATGCAGAATGAATTATTAATACCAATGTAAGTAAGCCAAGTGCCCAACTCGAATAAAAATTCTATAGCTCCTTGATAGCTGCTCACAAGAATGTTCTCGCATTCTTCGTTCGTTGATATGTTGCCGCATTGCTTAACTCTTAAGGTAAAAAATATAAAAAGATCACCTTGAAATGGCTTTGGCCAATAATGAAGGATTCTCTAGAATAGAATCCTTCTGAGCAAGAAAAGAACGAGCCTCAGGCTCGTTCATATTAAACGAAGATGCCGGGTTCGCTTATTTACCAAGTCATTGACTCAGCTTAATTTTATTTTCAGTTAAATAAATTTTGTTTACAAAGTAAATAGAATTAATATTATATTAATAATATGCGATTGAGAATCTCTGTTCAGGCTAGATTTTTGTACATAACAAGATGGTTATTAACAGCATGTTAACGTTCATTATGACCTTTTAAATAATAAATTATCTAACTGTTATAGCAAAATAAGCTAAATAAGAGTTAAAACATAGTAATATTATGAATTATTAGAATGTAAACCCAAACGTTGACTTTAAAGAATTCCATAATATATGTTAGTAATACTGACTCTAGGTTTTTGATCACTGGTAGAAAATAAGACTAAGGAAAAGCTCTAGAGGAAAGCTAATTGGAAGCTGTCGACTTTCAGGCCTTAGAATTGCAATGACCCATATCTGTCTTAGTTAATAAAAAATTAATATTGAATTTTCCAGCAATGGCATAGGAAGGCTTTATGATGCCATTGCATTTCTCTCAGGCTTGCCCTAAAGAAGGCAACCGCATAGAGGATAGAGTAAAGTTTTGGACTCGTCTGAACATCCGCAATAAGTCATCGGGAATCAAACCTAAGTAGTGCAGCGTTTAATTCCAACTTGCTACCACTGAGCCACACTGCGTTGTATGTCAGTGAGTTGGAGCGCAGACGTAAACTTTAAGGTTGTCAGCCCTTAGACGAACTATAACAAATAAATATCTTCCGCGTGATCAAAATATATTTTCAAGGACCCCTTTATAATGGATTTTAATCTTACTTTGGAATATCCATCCAAAACTATTAGTTCCCTCCTCCAATACAAACAAGGAGTTACTATTCTAATGTAAAATTTTCTTAGATTTTATGTTTATAGTTGCATAACCGCCATGCATACATCCTCTCGCCTAGATAATACAAAGAGAAAAAGCTGGTTCTTTGGTATAGCAATTCTGCTCGCATATACAAATTATTTCAAGTGCAAGTGTTTGGAGAAAAGATTCGAAGGTCGATTCCACCAGAAGATGACGGCGGATTTCTCTTAACCAGCTACCGAGTGGCTTTACTGGAAGATTCATGCTGACGCTGTTTCCGAGGCAATCTCCTTCGATTCCGGTGAAAGGGTGGTAATCTTTCGTCCGTCATATGATGAACATCATCAAAGCAAGATATCATCGTCACAACAAAATTCAGGCTAACAAGTCCAGAAAACTCAACGGCAACTCCCTAAAAAGCGGCATATATACACTACATCTGGCCTATTTGATCTGGCATAAAGTGATTTG